CCCCAAAACCCCAAAACCCCAAAACCCCAGAGGTGATAAATAACATTGAAATTATTTTGATCTAGTATGGGATCATCCCAGTGTTGTTGAGTACTTCGAAAAATTGACACAAAACCTTCAGTCGGCTTGGATATAAGAGACAGCTATCATAGTAATGGATCTTGTTTTACTCAGGCGCCTCTCCAGCTGGCTAGAGACTATGAAGAATTAGTGTTCTATGAGACATTAATTGCTCAAACTCAAAGAATATTTGAACTCTACAGCGAACTTGAAAGCTCTGATTATCCATTAAGAGTCTCTCAAATCAATAAAGTACTCGGAATCGTAAATGAGCACATGGAACGCTCTAAATGGAAGTACCAAGGAGCATACCCTGACGATTACAAGATAAGATACATTGATATGGGTGCTACTGTCAGCACTCTTCTTCAAGAATGTCATCAAATTATTTCAAAATCAAAAGAAAATATGATGATGCCAGAAACCCCTCATGGACTAGGTCTTCCTCCTGAGATGGCTAAAAAGTTAAAATTTGAAGAAGATATTCTATATGAGTCCCTGAAGCTCGATACTGACATCTGTACAGAGCTCTACACCAAGATAGTTAGCGGGTATATAAATCAAGGCAGAAATATTGATTTTATTGATCTTCAAAGCAAGGATGAGGGAGAGTATCTAAAGCAAAGCTCTACCTTAACTCAAGCTGGCTCATACAACTTCTTTATTGACAATGTGCCAGCTCTCACTAGAAGGAGCAAGTTGCTCTTGAAGGACTGTTTCCCAGCCAAGACGGAGAGATTTAGATTTAACGGAAGAAATGATAACTTGCTCGATATTAGCTTCTACCTCAAAGATATCACTAGTGTTAGCCATAGAGTAATGAGAGAAGTTCACATATGAAATTTCTCCATCAATGAAATACAGTTAAAGAAACTTCTATTTGCTTACAGGTTGATCAAAGGGTTCATGCTCAAAGAATGCAAGGTGATGACACCCACAGTCCCTGACCTAGATAAGGCTCTGAAGGGATGTGCAATAGAGCATCTAGATTTCGAATTTTGAGGGCTCCCAAAACTGAGTGATTGGGATAACAACTTACACCAATTTGAAAACCTTATATATGGACTTTCCAAAACTGACATGATACGAAGCTTGGATAGAATTAGTGTGGGATGATGTAACATTAGTGAGAAATATATCAAGCAGCGGCTCGATAAATATGGCTTCAGCAGAGTCAAAATTCAGGGGTTCTATTAAGGTGAAAATTCTCAATATTTTATAATATTTTGGGGTTTTGGGGTTTTGGGGTTTTGGGG